GCTTGCCGGGTTCTCTGAAGGGGCGGAGGAATCAAACTCGGGTTGACCGGGTTGACCGCATGCAAGGCAAATGTCCTACTCACTGTGCTATCGCTCCAGCCCATGTATTATCCATACCCAATTAATTTATGTTGATGTCACATTTTATTTGGTCCAATATGAATAGCTGGCTGTTCCAGAGTCATTTATTGCATAACTTTCCTTTCATATTGAATGATTTGCTGCATTTATAAAAAAAATCACTTGTCCTTGGTTACTATTTGACTTGCTGGGATACTTGTTAGATATAATTATTATCAAGAAATAAACTATGACAGCATGATAGAGAGTTAACACTGAGGAAAAGGCAAATCAATACAGAGAGTTCTGTTTACCTGCTTTCCCCATGTCGGAAATATAAATTCTAATTTATGTACCATTGTGGCAGGCAGGCCTACTATTCTCAATGGATGAAAATATTACTTTAAAATAATCATGTAAATAACAAACTGTGATGGGCATATAATAATCTCTAATAACCTGGCTGAACAAGAAATACTTATTTTTTTCATCCTGAAGCACAATATTTCTAAGACAGATTCTAGATGTGAAAAGATACAAATTAAGAGCATACTTTTTTTAATTTAGGCAGACTTTTGGCCCTGCTCTTTATAGCTGTTTTGGTCAGTCTCTGGTCTCTTTTTGGCACAACAGGGAGATGGACTACACAAGGGAAGAAGGTTGCAGACCTTCTGATGGACGTAAAATATCTGAAAATTCATCTACTTTTTGTCCAATTTTGTGAATTTTATTCCACACGGACTTCTGACTTCTGAAAATAGGACTTGTAGATTTCAGGCTCGCTTCCTGTTCAGTATCTGTAAACAAAGGCGTGGTCTCCTGGACAGGCTGCTGCATGTTGCAGGTCAAAGTTCTATTTATATATGGCTGGTCATTGGGTAACTATATATTTGCCTCTCTCTTACTATAAAAATTTGCAAACAAATTGGAGTAATGAAATAAGCTTTCATATATCATCCACCTAAACTTAAAGTAATGTTGTCGTTTTGTCATATTTGACAAAACATGTTTGTCATTTTCACCTGAATCATGACATCATGTTTTATCCCTGCATGTCATTTCACAATGCAATTCAACGTCTGTAAAGATGTGACCACAGTTCAGTATAATGCAGAATACAAATATTGTATTCGAATTTCAAATATCCAGTTTGTATTCAAATGTCCCCAAAATTATCCTAAAACTTCTTATACAAGTGTTTTGTTTTAGTTAGAATGCAAATAAAAAGCCATGATCCATTTTTATATAGAAAATAATTTTTCTTAAAATATTTACTACTATTGAATAAACACACAATAGTAGTCATCTCTTAATCAACTAGAATCATACACAACAATGTAGCCAGATATAGCTACATAAAAAAAATCAGAACATCCCTAGCATCCCCAAAATCTTTATGATGTCCTCTTTTAGTAATTATATCTACAGCACTGTAGCACTGTCCTCCCATTGTTCATCAATTTGCTCAAGCGGGCAGTGTCCATTGTGACACTTGTTGCTACTGTTGCATATCGAATACGTCACAGGTAGCTTCCCAGGCTTTGCCGTGCAGGTGGGATACTCTTGGTAGTTTGCCAGGCTCTGAGAGAGATGGAGGAATTGAACCCGGGTCGGCCGCATGCAAGGCAAACACCCTACCTGCTGTACTATCACTCCAGCCCACTAAAACAATAGGTGTCTTAAAACTCTGATAAAATTAATTATTTCACAGGGGTTTAATTTTATGTAAATCAAATTTTATAGAAAGTTATTGACATGACTTCTTTGGTCAGTACCCTATTTGTACATTCACATACATCATCATCTTTTCCTTTTCATTGGGTCCCAGATCCATATTCCAAATGTGGGCCCAACCTGCATCTCCCTCTTTGATATGTAAGTAAATTGTCTTTCTTACCTACTTAATCAGTTTCTGAGCTTTCTAAAAGGGGCCTCCAGGGTATAAGGACTCTCTGTCTTTTGTAGAATTGCCTCCCTGAGGGATTGGCTATTACTCCTACCTGTCATTTCAAAAACACTGTGACTCAATCTTCCTCTTTCATCCACCTTGTCCTTGTCCAGGTACTTGGATAGATGATGAGTCTCAGCCCTGAGGCAGGTAGCAACATAAGAGGAAAGGAAAAGACAGTATGAACAAGGGTGCTGCACCAGATTGGTTCTTCTCTCCAGGGGACATTTGGCAATCTGTGGAAACTTCTTTATTATCATGATTGGGACACTGGGTAGGATGTGTACTTGGTAGCTAGTGGGCAGGGACTGAGATACTATTACATATTCTACAATGTACAGGTCAACCTTCATATTCAAGAATGATCTAGCTATATATGTCAGTAGTGCAACTGTTAAAAACTATGGTTTCTATTTCTGGAGGGGAAATATTTCATAAATTTATTAAATGCTATAAAATTCAAACTATTACTGTGCTGTTAATTTTCAGGAAATCTAAATTTTCAAAGTTTGAGTCACCACTTAAAGCATAGCTGGAATAACTTTAGAAATAATGATCTGAACTTCATTTTATAAAATGTGCCTTTTTTATAGAAATAAAATAAATAAATAAAATAATTGTAGTTAAAGCCAAGGTCATTTCTTAAGCACTTGTGTCACATAACATAGTCAGTGTTTATGAAATGTGATAGTTGCTACAACTCTATGAGATATTTTATTATTATTATTATTATTATTATTATTATTATTTCTTTGGGCTAGAGTGATAGCACAGCAGTAGGGCATTTGCCTTGTGCTCGGTCAACCCAGTTGACCCGAGTTCGATTCCTCCGCCCCTATTGGAGAGCCCAGCAAGCTACCTAGGGTATCTTGCCAGTATGACAAAGCCTGGCAAGCTACCCGTGACGTATTCGATATGCCAAACACAGTAACAAGTCTCACAATATTACTGGGCCCGCTAGAGCAAATCGATGAACAATGGAAGGACAGTGCTATAGTATTATTATTGTTTCTTTATATTTGGGACTAGACTTAAGAGGGTTAAATAATTCTCTTAAATAAGCTAAACTAGTTTCAAACAATAATGTCCCTGTTGTCAAAGACCTGGATCTTTCAATTGCACCCACAGACTCAAAGTAATTTTAGTGAATTTCTTTAAATGTGGAGTGGTAACTCCAAGATTATTGCTCATTTTGTGACTTGACCTGCTTGTTCCCTTCTATTTATAAATGTTCCAAACTTCTGCAGGAGGAGGAAAAGTAGGAGAGAAGAATCAGAGAATAGCAGAGGGAAGGGGAGAAGAAAGAAAAGAGAGAAGAAAGAAGTAAATAGGGTGTCAGGGAGGTACAGTTATTTTAGCCTTGATCAAAAGAAAACTGCTTCTCATTTAATCATTTTCCTATAACTAAAGCCCTTCTTGCTTATCAGCTCTCATGAGGATCCACCTCTCTCATAAATTCACTTAAATAAATGATTCCATTCTTTAGAACTTCATGGGCTATTATGATTGACAGACAATAGATAGACATCTACATATGATGGGTAACATAAAGTAACAAAATAAGAGACTAACACCCAAGAACAGCTGTGATAAGTACCAGGTTTTTCACTCCATGGCTTAGAGGCCAGCCGCACATTCTAGGGGTAAAGGCAGCTCAGATAGAGAAGGGAGCACTAAATAAAGGGTGCTGGGAAGATCTGCTGAGGATGGGAGATACATGCTGAACATAGTCAATAGACTGAACATGATTGCCACCCAATGTCTCTTCTGCAGACCATAGCACCCAAAAGGAGAGATAGAACAAAAGGGAGTGCCCTGCCACAGAGGCAGGGTGGAATGAGGGATGGGGGGTGGGAGGGATACTGGGATTGGTGGGGGTGGATAAAGGGCACTGGTGGTGGGATGAGTACTTGATCATTGTATAACTGAAACCCAAGCACAACAACTTCTAAGTCTACAACTGTACCTCATGGTGTTTCACTAATAAAATAAAACAAAACAAAAAGAATTCTGAAATTGTCCCAGTGTGTGTCCATCAACCTCTGCACGTGAGAACCAGGGACTGATAGAGCTCCAGTAATCGTGAGGTACAAAAACAGGCTCTAGAAGAGAGATCAGAATAGACCATTGGAGTAGATCCATACCTTGCTTGCCTAAGAATGGACTATGATGGAGTATAATATATTAGAATGTCACTCTTAAGCATTATAAGATACTGCACTAAAAAAATGCCTTCCATTCCATTCATAATACAGTATTTTGAAAGTAAAAGCACACTGGATTCAAATCAAATCTTTATCAGTCATTTGTAATAAGTTCTTTTTTCTAAGACTTTCTCATTTATAAAATGGGGCTAATGCTTAATTCAGAGTCATTGTGAAGTTTTAGGTTGATAAAGAAAACAATGCAATTTCTAACATACAGTTGATATTCGTATGTGTACATTGTTTGCCTTTTATATATAAGTGGGTCACCATTTGCATATGGAAAAATATTAGCATTTATAGGGCACTTGCAGTATACTAATGCATTCCATGTCTAAACTCATTTAATACTTTAGAAAACACTTAGAGACAATTATGTTGTTGTACCCATTATATAGAAAAAAATACATAAGACCTGTAAAGAAACTCACTCAAGGTAACACAGTTAGCAACAGACTAAATCTGAAAATAAACTATTCAATAAACTGTTGCTTTGTTTGCTTTTCATTTAAAAGGCACTAATGTTTCCCTGTTTTAAGTTCTAAAACAATTGGTTAGAATGTTACAACATTTATTTTTCCCAAGGAAAAAATCATTCTTGCTAGAGTTTTTTCTTTTTCATATGGCAGGTTTTCCTTTTGACTTTAATACAAAAATCTTGTATGACCCTCCACTGACCCAGACTGAAGATGAAATATTGAAATTAGGAAGGATGTTTAGAGATAGATATTTTGCTTCACCTTTGCTTTTTAATGTTGCAGATACCTGTTGGCTGATCCTGAGAAATCATGACCATGGAGGCTCTCCCTAAGACCCTGGAGGCTGATGATAAGTTTCCAGAATCCAAAGACCTACTTCCCAGTCAGACTGCCAGTTCCCTTTGCATCAGTTCCAGAAGTGAGTCAGTCTGGACCACCCTCCCCAGGAGTAATTGGGAAATCTACCGCAAACCCATCATCATCATGTCTACTGGTGGTACCATCCTTCTCTTTGGCGTGGTCATCACCTGCTTGGCTTATACTCTGAAATTAGGTGATAAGAGTCGTAGTATTATTAAGATGACAGGTCCTGCTTTCCTGTCCCTGGGACTCATGATGCTGGTGTGTGGGCTGGTTTGGGTGCCCATCATCAAGAAAAAACAGAAGCAGAGACAGAAGTCAAGTTTTTTTCAGAGTCTCAAATCCTTCCTGAATTGCTAATGGCAGCCTTCCCATCACCCTGCCACCTGCACCCGAAGAAAGAGAACTGATGACCAACATGTAACATCTCCATCATCTTGGCAGTGGAGCTTTTCCATAGAAATGGATCCAGTTAAAGCATTTATCTCAACCTGTGGAAAAACTGAGGGCCATAGTTATACCCTTCCTGGAAATGGGCACATTTCTGATCTATCTCAGACTCTGTTATGGCTAATACTCCCTTGCATCTTGGCCATGGTCAGCCCCTTCCCTGTCTGTTTCCTACTTATGCATTCAAGCATTACTCATTTAACTCTTTGCCTATAACTTTGCATGTTTGGAAGTTCTTTGGTAGTGGACTATGATCAAAGAAGAGCCTCTTGTTTACATATCTGATTGTCTGAGCTGGAGTTCTCATTTGCATTCCTCATGACTGGCCAATAAATTTCTTTACAGAGAAGAGGAAAGGATGAGTCCTCACCCGTGGAGTTTGCTAGATCCATACATCTTTGTGGACTTGCAGCCCAAGAAAACCAGAAAGTCACAAAAGCATTCCAAAGACTGAACAGTGATATGTTGACTGAGAAAATGATTTCCTGTTAGGCATATTCTCCCTAAGTCTGGTTGAAGAAATCAGCTGGACAAGGAAATTTAATTCTCAAGTATCAGTATTGCTGCCAGAGATGGAGGAATGAGCTGGGGTGTTTACAATACCGCAACTCCAACCCTGTAACTCCCTTTAACTCCTTTGAAATTTTGTCAAAGAAAAAGGATGTTGTTCTAATTCCTCTTTACCATCTTTACCCTCATCTTTACCACCTATTCTGCAACAGTAAGATGTAAAGTTGCAGGGTTGTAAGATTGTTAATCTTCTCTTCATATACATTGAACATAAAACTCAAGAAAAATCATATTTGTTTTTTAGAGTTGCATATAGGTTTCTAAAAATCAAATTCACTTAAAAAAACTTATACTTCTAGGGGCTGGAGAAATAGCACAGCAGGTAGGGCATTTGCCTTTCACGCAGCCAACCCAGGTTCAATTCCCAGTATCCCATATGGTCCCCTGCACCGCCAGGAGTAACTCCTGAGTGCAGAGCCAGGAATAACCCCTGTGCATCACCAGGTGTGACCCAGAAAGAAAAAAAAATCTTATACTTCTACCATCTCTGTCATTACCTATTGAATAAACAAATATGTATCCAGTGTCTTTCTCTGGGATGGAAACAGAATAGGCATTGTCCCAAAACAAAATATTAAGTCAAACCAAAAGATTATTAGAATATATTGTGCTGAGTACTTAATTACATAAATCTTAATTACATAAATGTGTGATGTGTGGGAACACCAAGGAAAAGTCTAATTCAAATTTGAGAGAGGGTGTGGACACTTCTGGGACTGGGAACTGGGAGGGAGAGCTGTGTTATCCAAATTAAAGATTAAAAGTACAATAACTAGGAAAGAGAAAAGAAAAAGGAAAAGAATTTCAGGCAGCAGAAACTGCTTGTGCTGAAGCTTGGTATGGGAAGGAAGGTCACGGATAATAAAATTGGTAAATTGTATAGCATCTTCCTTAACCTCAAATATTTTTTTATGTCAAGCTCTCCATGGCATATTCGACTTGCAAAAACAGTAACAAGTCTCACAATGGAGACATTACTGGTGCCCGCTCAAGCAAATCGATGAACAACAGGACTACAGCGCTATATTATCCCATGCCCAACTTCCAAGTGCCTTAGTGCAGCAGCTCTGGGAGTGCAATGAGGGTCTTCTTGAGTATTGACAGAGACCAGAGGTATTTCCTATTGCTCCACCAGACAGACAACATATGTGAGGTAAATCACCCCAAAATCTGGAGCTTCCTGTGGTAATTAGAGGTCTTTAGGTGAAAGATCAGGAGGCATATCCCTAACAAGCTAGCCAGGGTGACCTAGGCAGGAACAGAATTGTATAAAAGAGCATCCTTAATCTAACCACATTGCTTAAGCTGACTCCCTCACTCCTCAGTCACTCCACTCCACCTCCACTGTCACCATGGAAACCTCTCTATCTCTAACGACCTCCAGTTATTATAACCTTTACAGTAGTTCCATGTGCAGACATAGAACCAAAACTGTTCCCACTGTACCATAAAAAAATTACATGGAGGCATCTAACTATCATCTTTGTGTATCTACTGCCTGTTTCATCACCTAAGGATCTAGAGTTTGGGGAGCCTGTGGCCTTTGAGCTTCAGCGTGTTTCTCATTTGGACAGTGAGTTCAGGTTTTCTAGCAACCTGATTTTATCAGAGATTGTCAGGAACAATCTTGGGGGAGTACTGCAAGAGCTCTGTCACTAATTTTAATTCTAGTGCCTCAAATGACAGGGTATGAAAGATCATGCCCCCCTTTTTAGCCAGTTGGTCCTATTATATCACTCACATTCTTTAATGCTTTCTTACACAGAAGCAAAAAAATTGGCCTCCCCAACTAACACACTGGGAACCCATACTTCCCACATCAAATTTCATCTGCCCCAAAGCTTGTAGTTTAGGCATAGTTTTAAGTGGGAGTTGTGGGTGGGTGCTGCTTCATATAGGTCTTGATGGAAGGAAGTTTCAGAACAGTCATATTCTAGGAAGGTATATCTGCTCTGAACTCACATTGCTGTCTGTAATACTAATTGCTCATCCTCCATGCTCCTCTGAGTTTCTCGGGGGGAAAATAAGCAAATATTCTTTTTTTTTACTTTTTTAAAATTTTTTTTATTAGTGAAACACCATGAGGTACAGTTATAGACTTATAAATTTTTGTGCTTGGGTTTCAGTTATACAATGATCAAGTACCCAACCCTCCACCAGTGCCCATCCTCCACCACCACAGGTCCCAGCATCCCTCCCACCCCCCATCCCCCAGTCCCACCCTGCCTCTGTGGCAGGGTGTTCCTCCTTGTTCTCTCTCTTCTTTTGGGTACTGTGTTTTTAAGCAAATATTCTTAAGCATAATGTATCCTTACTGAGATCTCCCAAATAAGTGTGGATATAGAAACACATCAATGTCACAATAAGGACCAATATCATGGGAACTTCTCCACATAGAGGTCTAGGGTGTTAATATAACTGACCCATGAACAAAATAAAGTTAGATGCACTGTTTCTAATAAAAGACATCTCTACCATGACTTCATTAATATCTGTGTATTCAGCATTCACTTTTTGACTAATATGATATTATTCCACCCATGAGTTCTCACCCATGGAGTTTGCTATTTAGTTTGGAGAGCTGGTTTAATCTGTGACCTAAAGGAAATCAATAAAATATTAATCATATTCTATAAACAGTATTGGCTGTGTTTCCTTTCTGTTCCATCAGTAATTCCAAGAAGTAATCCATTTCTCTAAAATGCTCCACCACTACCCTCTCCCTGGTTCCATTCAAGATTTGATTGTACTACTGACTGGGCTGAAGAGTACAATGTAGATTTCACAAGTTTCCATGGATGTTTCTTAGGAGTTGGTGACCTGTTATGAGGTACTAATGGAAAATACAGAGAAGAAGCTCTTAGCATTTCTCTTCTATTAACACATCCCAGAATTGAGGGAGGGGGGAGAGAGGAGAGAGGGGAGAGAGAGAGAGAGAGAGAGAGAGAGAGAGAGAGAGAAACAGAGACAGAGACAGAGAGACAGAGAGAGAACTGGGAATATGATATGAAGACATGCTTTGACCTTAAGAAGCAACAATGCAATTGAGTCCCATTGGGAGACAGTCATAGGAGTTGTCATGATCCCACATGCCAGGCATGAAGGGTATAGAATGAGAACTTAAATCTATCAGGACCTGCTCAAACTTTCCTGTAATGGTTCAGATTTTCTTCAGGAGTAGAAGGGAGGAACTGTGTCCAGAGGAAAGCACATACAAATCCTCTCCTTTTGATTCCATTAACCACTCCATTTCATGATCTTACTTTTCATCAGTGTCTCTCAAATCTTTCTACCAGAGCCTTCTGCTCTAAATATACCACATTTGAATATTCTCAAGGATTCACTTTCTCTATTCAATCACACTGCTTTCCTGAGACACTGCTAAAAAAAGAAACTAAGTAGAAGGATTTTCACTTTTCTAGAATATTGGTTGTTCTGATTGTATTATTTCTTTTACTCGATCCATATATCTCAGTTTAAAAATTTTCTTAATGACCTTCAATGAAAATAGCTTTAATAATTATTTGTGTGTTGGTGACTCCCCAAATATCTATATGCTTATTGTGTATGAAATGTCAATGGGTAAAATTCTTTCATGTGTGTGTGTGTGTGTGTATTCAAGGTATATTTTGAAAAAAATTTTATTGAATCACCGTGAGATATTTATAAGCTTTCATGTTTGGGTTACAATCACACGATGATCAAATACCCATCCCTCCACCAGTGCACATTCCCCAACACCAATATCCCTGGTATGTCTCCCCTTTTCCCACACTCCCCCTGCCTCCATAGCAGACAATATTCCCCATACTCTCTCTCTACTTTTAGGCATTATGGTTTGCAATACAGACACTGAGAGGTTATCATGTTTGGTCTCTTATCTACTTTCTGCACACTCCCATCCCAACAGGTTCCTCATGCCATCATTTTCTTAGTGATTCCTTCTCTATTCCAGCTGCCTTCTCCCCTTTGCTCATGAGGCAGGTTTCCAGCCTTGGAACAATCTTCCTGTCTTGTGCATCTACTATCCTTAGATGTCAGACTCATGTTACGTTGTTTTATACTCTACAAATGAGTGCAGTCCTTCTATCAATGGGTAAAACTCTTACTGATGCTAAAAAACAAACCATTAATTTTTAGAAAAATTAAATTATATTACCATTCCAGAAGTTAGATGTTCAAAATTACTCAAATTAGGCTTTTGGTAGGGTTCTGCTTCTTATGAGAACTCCAGAGATAATATGTGCCCATTTTAACCTCTAGAAAAGGCCATATTCCTTGGCTCTTGACTTCTATCTTCAGAACCTGTAATCGCAGCAATCTAACTTCTGCTTCCATAATATCTTCTCTTATGCTTCTGCATCACCTCTTTATAAGAACTTTGGTGATTATATTGAGCTTATCTCAATAATCCAAGATAATTTTCTTATTTCAAGATCTTTAACCATTCTAT